GGGCATCCCCCTGCCCTCCCCCTCCCACTCCCCCCCCGAGACTGGGGGCACTGGGGGGGCCAGCAGGGTGTTACCAGAGTAGTGGTCCACCAGGTCATGTAGGCTGGGGAAGGTGAGCCCAGGTGAGATGTAGAGCCAGCCGTTCTCCAGGCGGTGGATGCGGTAGTGTGTCACTGAGTCCCAGGAGGCGCGCTCGCTGCGGCGCACTGACAGTGAGTAGCAGCCTGCAGGGACGGGGGGGCTGCCATAGGCACCTGCTCAGCCCCACTGCTCTGCACTCTCCCACACGGGGGATTTTATTGCCCCACAGGTGACCAGCAGCACCCATCTCCCTATGGGGCTACATGACTGCAAGCATCCTTGTGGCAGCCCCATGCCATGAGCTCCTCCAACTATGGTCTGTGGAAGTGCTGGGCCAGTGGATGACCATGTGAAGCTGCCTGCCATGTCCCACGCACCCTCAGCATTGAGTGCTGTGGCTCTGTGCCTGAGTGTGCACTTCAGGGGCCGTGCAGGGATGGGCCATCCCCAGCCCCATGGCCCACTACGTGCCCAGGTGGCTGCGGAGCCACGAAGCACCGGTGCATCAGCTGTGTGCACCGCGGCACCCGGCAGGATCACCTCACGGGGTCCCCTCCACACCTTGTCATGATGGGGCCCAGTTTCATTTCAAAGGCTGAACCTTTTCACTTCTCTGCCTAACCAAAAGCTGCAGGAAGCCTGCTGGTGGTTTTTTCTCTTGGGGCCCCCTGGCAGGGCTCAGCACGCAGTGGGGACCAGCAGCGCCAGGAAACCGCCCCGCAGGGCAGGCCCTGCCACCAGGTGCCAGTGATGGAGGATCAGCCCCATTTGACACCCCAGTGGGGATGGCTGGGAGGGCGTACAGCAGATGGTGCTCAAGGGCTCTCACCTCGCCTGGTCTGGCTCTCCCGTATCAGGAAGGACCCACTGCGGTTGCCTGGCCGGAGCAGCATCTCCTCTGCCTTCTGCCGGCTGACGCCCTCGTACAGCCACCTGCAGAGGTAGTGGGCACTGGCAGAGTCTCTCCAGGCTGCAGAGGGACACCCAGCACCCGGGCCAGGACAGAGGAAACAGCTTGGGCTGCAGCAGCACATGTCCTGGGGATACCCTGACAGAGCATGCTGCCTCCCCCAGCCCCCAGTGCTGCTCCTCAGCCCAGGGAGAGAAAAGAGGCAGGATGTTCTGACACGGTGGCTGAGGGTTGGCCAGGCTCTCTGCAGTGGGCCCATGTCCCCTGGGGTGGACCCTTCCCAGCATTTACCTGTGTCTGACCTTGGCCACGCAGCTGCTGGGGACATGACATTCCTTGCCAGACACCTTGGATGCCACCAGCCACCACTCCCCATCCCTGTGAGGAAGGAGGACAAGCCATCTTGAGGGTCTGAGGCTTCTGGGTTCAGGGAGGGGACCCCCAGGATGGCCCCACGGGCTGCAGGAATGTCCACTCAGTGTGGGGACTTACTCGGAGAGGACACGGAGCTGCTCCCCCATCCTCAGGACGGCAGCCGCTCCTGCGCCGGAGGGGAAGTCACAGAGGGCCAGGAAGCTGCTGGGGGCTGCGAGGAAGGTGAGGGGGTTCAGGGCTCCCCCAGCCGGGCCAGGAGGATGGGCACACCGAGGGATGCTGGCCAAGCTGGCACCTGCCTGGCACTTACCTGCCTGTATGGGCAGTGGGGGCTGCGTGGTGTCGGCAACCACTGGCGGGATGCTGAGTGGCTTCTCCCGGCTGGGCAGGCTCCCCATCCTGTGGGTTCAGCCCTCGCCCCCTGCCCACAGCCTCAGCTGCTGCTGCTGGGAGGGAAGGAGAGGCTCAGGCAGTTCCCTGTGGAGCCACAAGCCCCATGGCATGGCCATGTCAAGGTACAGGCTTGTGGGTCACAGGGCAGGGCACTGCTGTGGGGTGATGCCAGCACAATGGCTCCCAAGAAAAGCAGGGCCAGGGCAGGGCTCTGTGCTGGGGCTGAGCCTGGCAGCAGCTCCCCAGAGAGCCCTTTGAGGAACCTCTGGATGGCAGGTGGGGACTTGCAGCCCCAGCTGGGGAGGGCCCCAGAACAGGGCATCCACATCCCCATGGTTGCCCCATGCCCCTGGCCACGCTCAGTGCTGCCATCCCACCCCAGCCCAGGGTCCCCTGGTGCATGGGGCACCCCTGTCCTAACGCAGCAAGCTGCCAGGTCCCATGGGGAGCACAGCAGCTATGGGGACACCCCTCTGCCTGTTTCAGTTCCTCGGCCATGGAGACATGCAGCTAAAGCTGGGTGTGACCTGGTCGCACCATGGGGTGCACCCCCAACCCCCCCCCCCGCAACCTGCTGCTGCGCTCGGGGGAGGGG